AATCCGGGAGCTCTGCTCTTCCCTGGGCGAGAGCAGCAGCTGCCTGGCTCCCGGCCTGCCTGTGCGGAGGGGCGAGGGAACCAGCCCGGAGGGGGTTCTCTGTCCCTAGGTCTGGACTGCAGCTTGCACTCCGTGAGTAGAGCTGGTCTCCCGTGAGAACACTGGGCCTGGCCCCTGCACCTGGAATTTAGTCCCTGAAACTTGGAATTGGAAGCCAGAGATTCCAGTGCCTTGGGCTCCAGGTGGCGTCTCGTCCCCGCTGAGCTGGAGGACAGCGCCGCCTGCCGGACGGTCTGAGTGAAACCGCTCCGCGGCTGTCCGCACCAGAAGGCTGGACGCTTGTTCACGCCACAGTGGAAACGGGTCCTCCAGAAGAAAGGCTTCACTGTTTTTCTAACTTATAGGAAAATTTGCTGAGAATATAAATAAGCTTCACAGAATTAAGGATGATATCCTTAGAGAAAAAGGAGAAATGACTTTAACATGGCTTTAGAAAGCATGAAACTAAATTAAGCAGAAGGAAATGGACAGTAGGAATAAAATTATTTTGCAAAGCATGATCAAAGCAGTATAATGGAATTATAATTATATGTGGTACATAATTTTAAGTGCTGCTGTGACTGAGTTAACATATAAATACTTAGGGATTTCACTAGTTTTTGTATGTTCAAAATTCATACATTCCGATGGGCATCCACGTGAGGCTGGCTGCATATCCGGGGTCACTTCGTGCTTTGCCATGTGTAGCATCCACCGAACTTCAATCGCAGGCCAAGCCCTGCTCCAGATGCTGGGGCGTCTCTGCGGATGCATGAAGCTGCAGGCAGCGTGATCTTCAACTCTGGATAGTCAAAAGAGAAATGAAAAATAAAATAAAATTAGGTAGAGATGGAGAAAATGTCACGGTCAAGTTTTCTCGCCAATTTGTGTAGACCTCAAAGATGGGAAACAATGTTGCCCAGTGAGTTTCATTCAAAGATAAAGCCCTGTGGGCATAAAGATCAGTGAAACAAGGACATAGCTGTTTTCCATTAACTGAAAGACTTAGATGAGCTTTAACCCCCAGAGAAAATAAAAATGCTATTTACCCAGATTTATTTGCTGACATAGGATCTTATTATGCAGCCCAAGGTGAACTCAAACTCTCAGCATTCCTCCTGCCTCAGCCTCTGCAGAAATTTATAGTGGGGTTTATAGTGGGGTTACAGCCACCACACTTACCTTCAGAAATACTTTAGAATATCACAGTAATAAAGGCAAAGAAAAGAGAGAACCTCTCCCTATTCTTCAAATTTAGGTTCTGGCTTCTGGGCATTGAGCAACACAGAATACGCTGAGGTCAGCAGAGAGCTCTGTAAATCTCTCCCTTCCTTCTCTCTTCTCATATCTTTCCTTACAGAATAAATGAGAAGAGGAATAAATAGCATAAGGTTTACAGTGAGAGAAAAATGTGCATCCTACAATTGTGACTTACTTAGAAAATTTAGGTGGAATATAATCTTTCAGTTTTGTGTTTGTATTTTTAAAAATGAAAATCAAAAACCTTTTCTGTATTTTACACACAAAAAATGTTAGAGGAGTTCACAATTGTGGAAGGAAGAAGTACATGTGGTCTGCTTTCATCTCTTTGGACTCTGGAAAGGGTATCTTTAGTACATCTCAACATGGTAGATGAGTTCATGTCAGGAAGGCTTGCATGACATTCTCCTTTCAAGCTCTGTTCTCCTCGTAACTTACAAAAGCTTTGTAAAAAAGTTTTCCCCTTTTATTCTTTTTTGCTTTTCCTTTTCTTCCTTTCCCCCTTCTTTGTTCCCTTTCCCATTTGCACATTTTTTTCCTGTTTCACAATATCTGTTATAGATTTTGATCCTTATTTCTACTTTTGATTTCTCATACCAGAGAAACACAGTGATATTTAAACATGTATAACCGATTTATTTCACTTCAGAGTATGGTCTCAAGGTGCATCCATTTACCTAAAAATGTCTGAAGTTTATCCTTCTTTATGGCAGAGTAAGGCTACATTGTATTAAAAAAAAAAAACCCACATCTTCTTTACCCTTTTGGTCCATTAACAGGTATTTGGGCTATTTGCAAGTTTTAGCTATAACAAACTGTGCTGCTATAAACATGCATGTGCGTATATCACTGTGGGATGATGTTTTTAATTCTTTTGGAAATATACCAAGAAGGGAAATAGCTGGACCAAACACAATCACCAGTTTTAATACTTTTGAGGACTGCTCACACTGATTTCCATAGTGAATTTCTTTTCCTTTCTGTTTTTTTTTTTTAAGACAATTTCTTACTAAGTTGCTGAGTTGTTTAGACTGGGCATGAAACAGCAATCCCTCTTCTTAAACCTGTTGATTATACTATCTACATGTTGCTGAGCAAAGTTTAGGAAAAAATTGTTTTGTTTGTGTATGATTTTATAAGATTTTATGTTAATGTAAATTCACTCCCGATCACATTCATGCAAATAATTGGGAAAGTCTCTTTCACACTGTGGAAATGAGAATACAGGGTGGTGCTAAAGCTTACATATGCTCTACATGTGTCCCTTGTTAGTTTATTTACTATGAGCTTTGTCCACAGCATGGCAATACTGAAAGGCATTGGAGCATTTAAGGAGTGGATTGTGGTAGAAGTGTCTGGAATTTAAGAGTGGTTAATAATTTTCTTGAGGCAGTGTATTATGGCTTTGGTGGAAAGCCCCAGGAGAGTGTGTCATTCATGAAGTGAGCGTGACACCTCTTTCTGTCTCACCATGTGATATCTTTCTTCCTCATGTCTTTTCATGTGAGGTCTGCTTGTCACTCTTCTGTAAACAGGACTGGGGATGCAGTTCAATAAAAGGGTACTAGGTTTAATCCCCAGCACCTCAGGAGGGAGAAAGAGGAGGAAAAAGGGAAAGAAGGGAGAGAGAAGCTGGCTGCTGGGATTCAGAATTCTCAACTAACAAAGCCTGTCTGTGCTTTGTGTTTCTATAAAATTGTAGGAAAATGCTTACAATGTGTTTAATCCATTGAATTTTTTTTTTTTTTTGTATGTTTACCGGTACCAGGGATCGAACTCACAACCACAGGCTTGCAAGGCAGGCACTTATGCTGCTGAGCTAAATCCCCAGCCCAATGTGTTTAATCCATGTAAGTCAGTTGACATTGGATCTGGAACAGCTATATAATGTAAGGAGCCTATTTCTGGCTGTGTATTATCAGGATTCTAAATTTCTTACAATAACTTTTATATGTATCACTATTTGCTGACTCAAAAAGATCCAAGAAATTTCATAATTTTGTGGAGGCATTTAAAGCTCAGCGACTAAGTGAGTGACTCAGAAGTCAGAAACCAGTGCACTCTACATATACCTGCACTACACAGTGGGCCTGCAGGTAAAATGCTGACCAGCTCTGGAGCAGCTGTGCTGGGGAACATGCAGCCTCTAAGCCGGGGCAGGGAGGGGAAGGAGCTGCTAAGGATTGTTTATTTTCCTTAAAACACACCATGATCATGAAGGAAAGAAGGTGAGCCTGAGCTGGGACAGCTGATCAGGTGGGACCCAGATTCTATCAGAGCGGCAGGTTCCCTAAGGCCACGACTTACTTGAACTGACTTAGGCACTCAGTACATACAGTCCAGGGCGCTGAACTGAACTTAACTTCCTATTTGTTGACTTTGTGTTGAGAGGGGACACGTTTAAATTCCAAGGTTCTTGAAGGGCTTGTTCAGAACACCTCCTCCTGCAGCTCAGGAGCAGTCGTTTGCAGGAGAGGAAAGCATAGAAATGAGACAGAGGTAGAAAGATGAAGCTTCTGAAAACAACTTACCTCCTAATCATGCTTCTGGACTTGGTTTCAAACTGTATGTCTTCTATCAGAACAGTGCAGTCTCAGTGATTTCTTAGGGCTCGCTCCCTCTGAGCCTGTTGCCAGCAGAACTGGACCCTGTCCTTTACTCCAGGGCTTCTTCTGGAAGAATCTCCTGTAGTGCAGCACCATAGATGGCTCCATTGCCCACCTAGGTATCTCCATGACCTCAGACAAATTTCCCGCCTTCTAGAAAGTTCTTCTCCTGAATTCCTGGATTGGTTCTAGCTCCATACATTACTCTAATTTTTCTCTCCCACTGTCAGCTTCTTATGGTCCATTTCTTCTCTTCATCCTCTTTCTCTTTCTCCCTGTTCTTCTCTAGTAACAGAGGCCAAAAGAAGCACAATACTTAAAAAGAATATTTCAGGAAATATATTTTCATTGATCTGCTTCCTGATTTCCTAATCCTTAATTTCTTGTCATTTTTAGCCTCATCCAGTTCTTGCAATTGTATGCTCACACCCTTCTGAGTTCACACTCAGTCACTGTGAAGCACAGGTAACCCCAGTGTTAAGCACTGCCCTTGCCTCTGCCCCTCCCAAGCCCTCTGAAAGGTCCCTGCTCATGTGCAGCCATAGTCAGGTATTTTCATAACCCTTGCAGAAATAACTTGTATTCCCTTCCCTTCTGGAAATGCACTGTTAGAAATTCTGTGCATGTCCATTCCAGGGAAATGATCACAATCCCTTGAGGGCAGGAATAAAACACAATAAAATCCCTGGGAATTATCCAAAGAACATACATCAAGCAACAAACCACTCATCCATGGAGGACTTTATTTAGTATAAGAATTAATTAATGAGTAAATATTTGTTCAATTTCTTACATATATCAAGAATGAAAAAGAAATTCTCTAAAACCTATCTTGCTTTTCTATTTAAGGTCATGTATAAATTTCTCATCAGAATTCAAAAAAGATGCTTTAACAGTAAATTGACTGGGAGATTTGGGTTTTGAAAGCAGTGAAATGTTGAAAAATTTATCTGTCATATCAACAGTTCAGTTTTTAAAAGTGAACTATTTTAACAATAATTCCTAACACAGTGTGAGTTTTCCTTCTGTGTCTTGTTGATGCACACAGACCTTGTTTGTTCATTCTGACTCTTTCCATCCCTTTCCTTGCAGACAGAGCACACACTGGACATGGCCTCCCAGACCCACCTGCCAGCCCCAGTGTGCCTCATTGAGAATATGAAAGGGCAGCTGAAGGTGAATCAGGAAGCTCTGAGCATCCTGTCTGCCATCACCCAGCCCGTCGTGGTGGTGGCTATCGTGGGCCTCTACCGCACAGGCAAATCCTACCTGATGAACAAGTTAGCTGGGAAGAAAAGAGGTGAGTGCCACCAGCAAGGCCCTGCTGAGCCCTCTGCCCACCACACTGCCAGCGGCTGACATAGCAGTCAGACAGGGACGGGCAGAGCCAGGAAGTAGTAGTGCAAGCTAATCTGCCACTCTCAGGCGGATTTTTTATCTGTTATCCATTTCATCCAGGCCAAAATTCAGCTCCCCAGCACCCCACATTCATTATGCTCTAGATTCCTTTCAGAATCATAATCTTTTCTAGAAGGGTGAAGGCAGTCATATGAGTAATTAATTCACAGATTATTATGTTATGAACCTGTTACTAAAGTGTTGCCATAGTAAGTGCAAGTTTTCATGGATATTTAACATTAAAGAAGCTTTGGAGCTGGGTTGTAGTTCAGTGGCAAAGTGCTTCCCTTGTATGTTTAATAACCTTAGATTCAGTCCCTAGTACCACCACACCAAAAAAAAAAAAAAAAAAAAGGAAAGAAAGAAAGAAAAAAAACTCAATTTGTTTTCCATATTGTTTTTATTATTTAAAATAGACATAATGTATAGTTTACTCTTTTAAACATTGTAAGCATGTATTTCTATTTCATTGAGGAAATTCACATTTTTGTGGAGCTATAATATCCATTCATCTCTAGAATACTTGATATAATTTCATTTCTCACTCCTAAGCTTGATTGTGCTAACATTTATCTCAATTTTGTACATACTTGATATTAAAACTCACCCATCTCATCTCACCCGTGTTTTGCAGGCTTCTCTCTGGGCTCCACGGTGCAGGCCCACATCACAGGAATCTGGATGTGGTGTGTGCCTCATCCCAAGAAGCCAGATCAGACTCTAGTTCCGCTTGAAACCAAGGGCCTGCGAGATGCTGAGAAAGTAAGGATGAGGATGCAGTTTGTATTGCCTCTGAAGTATGCATTTTTCACTTATACATAACATATATTTTAGTTTTTGCTTAAATTACACTGTTTAGCAGCCAGAGATCAGGAAAGTTTTATGAAAGAATCCTGGCCAAAATGCAACATGATCAGTACACAGTAAGTAATTTACCTACATGGAAAATAAGAACACAAACTCAGTGCCAAAGGTCTTAGCTCACAGAAAACTTTCATTAAGTGTTTACGTGTTGAAGCCTTAAGATTTTTGTTTAAATTAGAATTCTCCCCACACGTGGTGGTGCACATCAGTAATCCCACCACTCAGGAGGTGAGGCAAGAGGATCGCTGCAGAAGTGTGGCCCTCTGTGCCACAAAGTGACTTCAAAGCCAGCTGGAATTATATTGAGTTAGCTCTATTTGTAACTCATCATACTTAAGCAAATTATTTGACTTGGCTCCAGTTTTCTAACCTATCAAATAGATGTAACAGTTTTATATATGCCTTGTGGAATAGTTTGGAATATTTTTAAGGACAGATAACAATTAAGGTATATCATAATTTCTATAAAACTGCTGAAAGTATTATAAACTGGTTATATATTTACTGATTTTGCTTATTTACACATGTATTCATTTACTTATTCATATAAGCAATACTTGGAATTTAAACATTGGGCACTGTACTGCTAACTTAGGTCTCTAGTCCACTGCTATTTTCAGTTTTTTAGACAGAGTCTAAATTGCCCAGCCCAACCCTGAACTTTCTTTGGCATCTCACACAGTTGGAATTACAAGCACGTACTGTAACACCCAGCTGTAAATCTTTCCTAAGCTAATTTTTCTGTAAAGAGAGAGAGAGAAATAGAGAGAAAGAGAGAGAGAGATTTTAATATTTAAATTTCCTTTAAAACCTTAGAATACCCACAACCTTGACTTTTTCGGTTATTTGTCAGTAATCATCAGAGCCTGGTGAGAATCAGTAATCAGCAAACATTAATAAAAAATATTTAAAGTTCAAGCAAAACAGACAATACTTTGTTTGGCATTGGGTTTCATGTCTACACAACTAGTCTCAAAATCTCTCATAAATGAGCATAATCTTACCACTGATGACCTTTCAAATGACATACAAATAAAAATACTCATAAGCAAAATGTGTGCTTTCTCCCAGAGTGACCCCTGGAATGACTCCTGGATCTTCACCCTGGCGATACTTCTGAGCAGCACCTTTGTGTACAACAGCATGGGAACCATCAACCAGCAGGCCATGGACCAACTGCAGTATCCTTCTTGTGGTCCAGAACACCAGTAAAAGTAGACAAGAAACCTTTTTTAGTAAACCAGCCACCTAATTCTGGATCCTGGGGGGCTATACTCAAGAACAGAAAACATAAACAATAACTTATGTGCAAGAAAGACTCATGTATCTACTAAGAAATGACACTCACATTAAGAACAAAGGCAAATGAAACCTTGGGGATTCGTTGAACAAATATAGTGAAGGGAGGTCTTGTTATGTTTGCCAGTTTTTTTTAGCCTCTCAGCTGTGTCACAGAGCTGACAGATCTGATCAGAGCAAAATCCTCACCTGACACAGATGAGACTGAAGACTCAGCTGACTTCGTGAACTTCTTCCCAGATTTTGTGAGGACTCTGAGAGATTTCTGCCTGGAACTGACACTAGATGGACAGAGCATCTCTGCAGACAGCTACCTAGAGTATTCCTTGAAGCTGAAGCAAGGTGGTAGGGATATAAATTGGTGAAAGGACATAGGAAATCATTACCAATTATTATTTTTTACTTTTCTACTTATGCTTTTTTACACTGTTTTGTATTTCTATCACCTAGTTGTTCCCAGAAATTAATGTTTAATATCTGAATCAATAGATTTCATTTAAAAATATTTTCTACTTTGTTGGAGGAATATGTTTACTTTTTATTTGTATGTGTCTGTCATATGAATTATTTAGAAATTTGCATATCTAGATAGTATACTGATAATGTTAGATCTTTTCTCCCACACATATGCCTCTTTCAACACCTACCTTGCTCTTTGCCTACCTGACCCCCAAAAGTCTACCTCCCTATTTTCTATCATCTCTCCTTTATTTTACTCTTGGATTCACTTGCATTTGTATTTCTCATATGAGAGAAATTATGCAATATTTTACTTCGTATTGGTAGCTCGTTTCACTTAACATTAGAGTTTCAAGAGCCACCCACTTCCCTGTAAATAACTGAAATTCATTCTTTTTTATGGCTGAATGAAACTCTTGTGTATGTATGCCACATTTTCTTTACTTGTCCATCTATAAATGGTCATATCAGCTATCCTTCTTCTGGATGTACTCCTGAAAGAGTTAAAGTCATCTGACTGTAGTGATATGTGCATACTCATGTTTTAGTACACAATAGCTAAGTTCTGGAAACAACCTGGGAGCTCATCAAAGATTTTTATCAAAGATAAAGAACACCTTTCTTTCTTTCCTTTTTTTTTTCCTTTGTTTGTTTTGATATTTTGAGACAAGGTCTCACTATGTAGTTCAGGATGGTCTTGAACTTGCTTATGCAGTCCAGGCTGGCTTCAAATTTATAACAATCTTCCTGCCTCAGCCTCCCAGTGTTGAGATTAGAGGCCTGTGCCACCATGCTCGGGCAAGAATGTGTTTTCGTTTTTTCATCTTTCCTTTTGTTATGATTAGGTTAACTTTACAAATTTGCTTGTGATATGTGCCTCTATTTAATCAAAGCCTACGAAACACAATAGATACATATTTGAAGGAAATCAATTAAAGCACAAACAGTGAGCATGCATGGCAGTGCACATATGTAATCCTAGCACTCAGGAGGCTGAGGCAGGAGGATTACCATGAGTTTGAGGCCAGCCTGAACCACGTAGCAAAACATTGTCTAAAAAAAAGAAGCTAAAAATATATACATAAAAAAAACCTCCTTGAGTTGTAGTCCAAGAGTTGCAAAAGTACACAGGCAAAGATAGCCAATGTCTCCTGCTAAAATAAATGCTTTAATATGATTTGGAGAATTTTTTATGCCCATATCTTATACTCCAACTACTTTAACAATGACAATACTTACTGTATTAACTATTGTCATCCTTCTATTATTTTGTTATGAAACTTTTACTTTTTCCATAAAATAAAATTAATAAAAATAAAATAAATGCTACTAGAACAATGCTGTAACCATTGATTTTCTTACTGTCTATAATTCTGCCATTCTACAATAACTGTACTGACTGCACAGGAAAGTGGCTACCTGGTCCAAACAGCTGAAAGAACATGCTACTTGACACTTTACCAAAATGTTCAAATCCTTGCAGTAGGCAAATACCTTTTTTATTTTCCTGTAAGCATCAATCAGAAAGAAAAAAATATAATCTGCCCTGACTCTGTATCCAGAAGTTCTTCCCAGAGAAGAAATGTTTTGCCTTCATTAAGCCTGCTTGGGAAAAGATGAGCAAGCTACAGACACTGCACAATGATGAGCTGGACTCTGAATTTGTGCAACAAGTTACAGAATTCTGTTCTTACCTCTTCAGCTCTTCCAAGACCAAAACTCTTCCAGGAAACATCAAGGTCAATGGGCCTTGTAAGTACCTTTCGCCTATTTTCTCATTTTTAAAACCAAGAATGAGAAGTAAAATGAACCTAGCTTCAGCTCTGAAAACTGCAAATCTACTTCTCCTGTTGTGTTAAATTGTAGATAACACCAAACTTAATAATAGATTTCATTAATTGAATTTCTTAATAGAAAATGATAAGGAAAGTCAAAGAGGAAATAAGTTTCATTTCTGAAAATTGCCTCATTAAACTGAACCTCTTTCGACAATATGGCAGCTACTAGGCCACTGTTGCTATTTGAATATAAAGGTAAATTAATCTAAATAAAAGAAAATTAAAAACTGAGATCTAATGGCTATATTTTAAGGGCTCATATGCCCATGTGCTATTCACTGTTTTATCAGTACATAAAGAAAGTTCTCTTGGATAATGTTACTTAGTCTAGTTATTCAAATAGTGGTACCTTTTGGTTGGGATTGCATTTCTTCTTACACAAATAGTGAACAAAGCCTTACTGTGGCCAGGAATGATGACATATGGTTTGGTCCTAATGGTACTTGTGGTACATGCAAATATTTAGTAAACAGAAGTCTATGAGATTTAGAACCAGGATTCAAATTGCATACACATCCCCTGGGGATCCTGCTGAAGAGGAAGATCTAATCTAGCACAGAATTTGAAATGTTGCATTGTTAGCAAATTGCAGGATGGTGCTGAGAACATTGATACTTTGAGAGAAACATGGTAACTGATATGCTGAATTACACAAAAAAAGAGTCTTTTCTTTTTTTATTATAACATTCCCTGCTCTGTGTATGCAGGTCTAAAGAACCTGGTGATGACCTACATCAGTGCCATCAGCAGTGGGGAACTGCCCTGCATAGAGAATGCAGGCTGGGCCTTGGCCCAGAGAGAGAACTCAGCTGCTGTGCAGAAGGCCTTGGCCTACTGTAACCAGCAGATGGACAAGAAGGTGCAGCTGCCCACAGACACCCTCCAAGAGCTGCTGGACCTGCACAGGGCCTGTGAGGGGGAGGCCATCAAGATCATGAAACATTCCTTCATAAAGGAATACGTATTGACTAAGAATTTCAAGAGGGATTGCTGGTATGTAATTTTTATCTCAAGATACATTGATTTGGGTGAGAGAAGGAAAAGTTGCCTAAGGAAATGAAATAAGTATTCATTTTGAGAAAAGCAGTTATTCGTAGATTATGAAATGGTGTTAGCTATCTTTCAATAATCACACTATTAAGAAACAATTTTATTATTATGGATTCAAGCTTTCAAAACATTTTTTCTTTCTTGATTAGCTAATAATCTCCCTGTTATAGATAAATGTATATAATTAGTAATCAGCACTTCTAATCAAATTATGGGTTTGCAGTTATATTGGTTTGATAAGGAAAAAGCAAAGAAAATATTATTCAAAGTTGTCTAATGAAGGCTTATTTTGAGATACATTTATTCTGTACACAATCACTGGTCTAATTTGAAGAATTAGAAGTTTACTTCTAAAGGATGAAATAAAGCTAACAATCTCTGCTCAGAAATTATACTTATGTAAAGTACAAGTTTTCAAAGGAACTTTAGTAAAAAGTTGAAGTGATAATCATTTTGAGAAGTGTTCTCAAAAACTGTGATGACAAAGTATTCTCACTCCCTGGCTATTCTTTTCATTTATTTTTACAATTAAAGACTCAGCTAGACAAAAAGTGAGATAACTTTTGTGAGCAGAATATGAAAGTATCTTCAGATCACTGTTCAGCTTTGCTTCAGGATCTTTTCAGTTCCCTAGAAGAAGAGGTGAAACAAGGAATTTATTCTAAACCAGGGGGCTACCATCTCCTTATTCAGAAGGTATAAGGCCTGAAGAAAAAGTCCTATGAGGAACCCAAGAAGGGGGTACAGGTAAGCAGCATTTACCTGTGTTGTTACACCAGTTTCCAAATCAGTGTAATCAACCATAATTACTAAGCTATGTTCCTTGCTAGCTACACTGCATTCACACTTTCATTCAGTAACATCCACAAGAAGCCTACTGTGCTAGATCTTCCCTAGGCACTCCTCAGAGACAATGCACACAACTAACAATTGCATTGTCAACTTTTTCACTGTCTGGTAGCCTCTTGTCCCACATTTTCTTAGCTTTCTTACCCCTGCTTCTTTCTCTCAGCTGCTATCTCCATGAAGGCTTCATTCTGTCGCATGTTTGGTCTGTAGAAACCAAAGCATCATGAGCTTCCTATATAGGACATTGATTCTTTGGGTGGCTCCTTACTGGTCAGCCCAGAGCATGTGCCATTCTTGTTAACAGAGAATATTGGCTACTAGGATCCTCAGGAGTAGGAGGACCAGTTCATGGAGGAAAAGTTGGTGGGCAAAGGACAGAAAAAATGCTTACTGACACTTCCTAAGGTTAACCTGAGTTCTTTGGTTTGGAAGGCTGAAGAGGTGCTGCAGAAGTATGTGAAGTCCAAGGAGGATGCAACTAATGCCATTCTATAAAAAGACCAGATTCTCACAGAGAAAGAAAATAAGATGGAGGTGAGGAAAAAGTTAAGAGGTTACATGACCTCAAAAGCTCTTAAAATTTAAATAATTTAAGTAAATCTGGTATTTTAAAACTGGAACAAGAAGCGCAGAGCTGTTTCTTATTTTCCAATGCAGTCGGCAGCCACAGTAAGTAAACATATGGAGAGGAAGGAGGCAAAGCAACATAGTAACCCACGGACATGTCTCTCATTCCTTTCAGTGCAATGGATGAAAGCTGAATATGCAGAGTTTGCTGCAAATATAGTGACTGTAATACAAAAGAAGAATCAGGAGATGCTGGAGCAGAAAGAAAAGAGTTATCAGGAGCATATCCAACAGATGGCTGAGAAGATGGAGGAGGAGAGGGCCCAGCTGTTAAAAGAACAACGAGAGGTTCTAGCTCTTAAACTCAAGGTATTCAGCTGTACCATCTTGAACTTTAACTTTCTTTCTCTTTCTCTCCATTATCCCCAATCACAAAGATTGGCAAGGAGACCATGAAGCTCCCAAAAGTGTACATATTGATGCTTATTTGCTTGCCTGACCTGTCTGCTGACCCTGTCTAATTATTGATTTTTACTTGAGGTGCAGCCCCACCGATGAGTATATCTTTCAATCAGCGGCAGTTTTGTCTGCTAAGCATTGTAAATGTATTTTATCTATATGTCTTGTATAGGAATATGGAAAAAAAAGAACTTTTCCTTCTTAAAAAAAATAGAAGTTAAAAACATCTTTCTTGAGGTCACCTAGTCGATGAAGTATCTGTCTTTGCAAGGTGATTTTTTTTTTTTTTTGGTCCAGTCTGTTATGACTTTAACTCACAAAGATCTTTGTGAGCAAAATCTCTTCAACCTTCACAACACTCCCACCTGCTTACTCTGCTTGGTCCCATTTTCTTTCACTTGAGAGTTATGTGCAGAAATTATCTGCCACTGTGATTTGCTTGTATATCATCTGTCATACCTGTATCAAGTCTGGAGGCTTAGATCAAAGGCCCTACTCTAACATCAAGACACCTCATCTGAATCTGAGACTATTTTGTCTCTGTGTTGTGTAGATATGTCACTGGGGACCCAGCCAGAACTTTGAATCTGAAACCGACTGATCTGGATTGATTTTGTCATTCACACTGAGAGGCTAGGAGACCAATAAAACTGGGAATATGCATTAATTCACAGTTTGGCTAAATTGGCAGGTCCGCCAGCCTGCTTCAGAAAGTTTTAAATTTAAGTTTCCTTTGTGACCTAAGAACCTGGCTGAGCTTGCTCCCTGTCTAGTTCTGAGCATCAAGGCAGTATGTCAGTGACAAACGTTGGATTTGCATGGCTACGGAAGCGCTAGTGTTTCAGTTGTTGGTCCTGCCCAGAACACTAGAGTTGCTCTGCAAAGATATATATTAACTGACTGGTGAGTCCATTTAATAAAAGAAAATGGAAACTGAGCAGCGAAAGGAAGCCTTCCCCAATACTGAAAGCGGTGAAGTTGGTAAATGTCCTACAGAAGATGTGGAAGAGGAGCAAGCATTTAAAAGCTCTAGAAACATGAGATGCTGAGTTACAAGTTCTGCTTTAGTGCAAGAATGTTGAGGCAGTAATTGAAAAAGGATGCAAATATTAACTCTCCACTGAAACTGCAAAGCTAGTGTTTCACTCCCAGAGAGCAGTAGTCCAGAGCACATTCGGAGCATCAGTGCTGATACTGAAACTGTCGAAGATATTCTGAAGACAATCATCCCTCTCTTGGAAAGGGGTCAGCAGTTGCCATCACTCACTGCAAGCAGCTGGCTTGAGCTTGAATCTGATGCTGTGGCATGCTTAAGTTATCAGTACTATAAGAAGTAACTTTGACTTCTTCAAGTTGAGACTGTTAATTTATTCAAGTCTGGAAGGAGGAATTATTGGGATCAAAGGTACTAAAATCAAAGAACTTCTGAGAGAACACTCAGATGACAATCAAGCTTTTCTAGGAAGGCCGTCCTCATTCCACAGATAGAGTTGCTCTTATTGGAGGAAAGCCTGATAAGGTTGTAGAGTGCATAAAGATCATTCTTGACCTTATATCTGAGTCTCCCACCTAACAATGTGTGCAACCTCAACTTTTAGGATGAAACTTACAATTATGGTGGTTTTACCATGATGTTTGATAACTGCTACAGATTTCCCATTCAGGGAAGAGGTGATTTTGACAGGCTGGGTGCCCATGCCTCCCTCTGGAAAAGAGGTGATTTTGACAGGCTGGGTGCCCATGCCTCCCTCTGGAAAAGATTCTGATCCCATGAGCCCCTCACTGGGGACCACCACTCCTTCCTCCTGGTTAAAGTGGTCAGGGTAGTAGCAGAGCTTGGAATCTTCCTCTTCCACCACCACCACCACCTAGAGGTGGCGATCTAATGGCCTATTATAGAGGAGAACGACCAAGCAACCACTATGTTGGCATGGTTTCTTTCAGTGCTGATGAAACTATGCAATAGACACATGGAGCCCATCAGAATGTAAATGACATGAACCACAGGGTGTCTCTGGATATGATTATTCTTGGTGGACCTATTATTACTATACAAGTAACTATTCCTAAAGATTTGGCTGGATCTATCATTGGCAAAGGTGGTCAGTGGATTAAATAAATCCATCATGAATTGGGGGCTTCTATCAAAACTGAAGAGTCTTTAGAAGGACCTAAAGAAGAGATCACTACCATTACAAAACACAGGGCCAGAAACAGAATGCACAGTATTTGCTGCAGAATAGTGTGAAGCACTCAGCAAATGAAGGATTCTAATGCAAGACATCTCTTTCTTGTAGTATGAAGCAGTATTATAGAAAGTTTTTCTAAGACTAGTACAGAACTGAAGGAGTCCTGCATCTTTTTTTTTAATTGCTTCTGTTTAAAAATCCAACTTTCCTCAGCTTCATAGGTGTTCTGCATTCAAGGTGTAGTGAAATCTTTGGACCACGTTTTATTCATGTGTCAATCTGCAGACTAGCGATGGCAAAAATATCATCACTTAACTGGAGTTTTAATTACATGGAAACAAATCCAAATAAAAATGTTGTCTATAAGACTTGAACTTGAACATCTGCTGTTCTCCAGATGTAACATTTCAATTCCTTTCAACAGGGTTGGGGCAGGGGGTGGCACATGCAAAAACTAACATTGAAATTTTAAAACAGCAGCAGAGTGAATGCATTTTTTCCATTGTTGGTGGTTTAAAAATCTTTCTGCCCATGTAATTATTGTGAACACTTCACTTCGTGTGGTCACCGAAAACATTTGTGAGATGGGACAAAGAGGAAAGTAACAATAGTCCACACATCCCTGGCATCTGTTCAAAGCAGTGCAAAATGCAATGCTCTTTTTAAGAAGTGTTTTATTGTTTTAAAAACAAATTTAGCAAGCCTTAAAAAAATCTAAGAGCCTTGACTGTTTTTCAATTGTCTGCCAAGAATCATAAGAGGACCTAGAGGGAATCAGTGTGAATCAAATATTAATCAAAAAATATTCAAAGTTCAAGTCTTATAGACAATATTTTTATTCGGATTTGTTTCTATGTAATTAAAACTCCAGTTAAGTGATGATATTTTTGCCTTTGCTGATCTGCAGATTGACAGAAGAATAAAACAGTGTCCAAATGTGTTCTGATTTCCAGGGTGACAACCAGAACGACTCCTGGATCTTTGCCCTGGCGATACTTCTGAGCAGCACCTTTGTGTACAACAGCATGGGAACCATCAACCAGCAGGCCATGGACCAACTGCAGTATCCTTTGTGTAGTCCAGGAGGAGAGACCCGTGTGAGTAAACCAGCCACACGGCTCTAGGCCCTGGGACAGCCAGCCCAAAAAGACAAAACAGCATTAATTCAAGTCAGGAAACACTCATCATATACTTACTAAAGAAATCACACTTCGGTTAAGAACAAGGATAAAATAAAAGCTTGTGGATTTGTTAAATTAGTGTGGTATGAAGGGCCCTGCTACTTTTGCCAGTTTTCCTTAGCATCTCAGCTATGTGACTGAACTGACAGACCGAATCCGAGCAAAATCCTCACCCAACACGAGTGAAGTTCAAGACTCAGCTGACTTCATGAGCTTCTTCCCAGACTTTGTGTGGACACTGAGAGATTTCTCCCTAGAATTAGAAATAGATGGAGATTCCATTTCTCCAGATGCCTACCTGGAGAATTCTCTGAAGCTAAAAAAAGGTAATATGGATAGATAACTGGTAAATGGAAATATCAAGACATTAGAAATTATCAATGTGTACTTTTCTAATTATACTCTTTTTACATTTAGAGCTTTCTATTACTTCTGCCTACCTACACCTGGAAATTAATGCTTAATACCTGTGTTAAGTGGTTCAACTTTAAAATACTTTCACCCTTGTTCAGAGACAAGTTTCTGTCTTTCATGTTTACTATGCTTAGTTTACATTTATCTTGGTGCTTATCATTTGTGATTCTGTGTTTATCCAAAGAATGTGGGGTACAGTGAATGTATATTTGAAGAAAATAGATCAAAGTAGTATAGTAGCACAAGTCTTTGGGAAGTATGTTCCACAGACAAATGCTAACTAATTAGAAACTGCCTCTTTTCTTGAAATAGATGTTATTAGAAAAACATTGAGCCCATTCATTTATACATTGTCTACAGATGCTGGGATGTTATAGTCAGTGAGTTGAGTGCAGAGGAAAGAGATTATCTGGCCTGAAAAGCTGAAAATATACACTATTTGGCCCTTTACAAAAATGTTTGCAAATTCTTACAGCAGGTAAACCCTTTTTTTATCTTCTTACAGGTACTGGTGAGAATGTTAAAAATTATAATCTCCCCGGATTCTATATCTGCAAGTTCTTCCCAAAGAAGAAATGCTTTATCTTCGATAGATCCACTCATCAAAAGAAGCTGGCCCAGCTCGAGATGCTGCATGATAATGAGCTGGATTCTGAATTCGTGGGGCAAGTTGCAGAATTCTGTTCTTACATCTTCAGCTCTGCCAGGACTAAAGCTCTTCCGGGAGGCATCCATGTCAATGGACCTCGTGAGTACCCTTCCCACTAGTTTCACTCATTCACAGCAATGAGGAGCAAGGAAAAAAAATGAATCTAGTTTCAGTTTCAGGTTTGCTGATAAGCCACTATTGCATTGAATTTTAAATGACCTCCAGCTTTCTAAAAGATTTTCTTAATTACATTTCTTGATTGGAAAATAGAGGGAAAAGCTTAAAGGAAAAGAGAAGTTCTTGCTTTAAAATTCCTTAAATAAATGAGACTTGCAGTCTGCAATATGGAAGCCACTTAGAAAAATAGGCTTATTTAAATTTAAGAGTACATTAATTTAAATGAAAAAATGTAAAACAAATCTGAAGGCTATATTCAAAGGCACATATCTTCGTGCACCTAATGATTATTGTATTTTTTGAAAATGCTGTTCATTTTAATAAAACAAATGGCCACATCTTTTGAATGGAATAGCATTTCTTGTTCTATGAACAGTGGTCAAATACATACTGTGAACAAGGATGATAATACAGATATAAATGAAAGGAATAGAATTCTAGTACCAAGGGAGTATAGATTTAAAATGGATGGAAAACTCTAATTAACAGTCCTATGTAGCATATATCCAGGAATCGCAATCTAGTTTATATACACATCATCTGGAGGTCTTCTGAAGAGGAATGTCAAATTCAGCATGTCTGGACAGAGGTCTTGTATTTCTAATAAATTACCAAGTATGTTGGTAATTATAACAATGACACTTTGAGGCAAATAGGAGGTAACTGACATACTTGTAATTATTTTAAAAAGGAGACTTTTTTCCACTGTATTGATAAAAAGCATCATCACTTGCTCTCTATGTGCAGGTCTTGAGAGCCTGGTATTGACCTATGTTGATGCCATCAGCAATGGGGAGCATCCCTGCATGGAGAATGCAGTCCGGGCCTTGGCCAAGAGGGAGAACTCAGCTGCTGTGCAGAAGGCCTTGGACCACTATGACCAGCAGATGGGTCTGAAGGTGCAGCTGCCCAGAAACACCCTCCAGGAGCTGCTGGACCTGCACAGGGCCTTGTGAGAGGGAGGTCACTGAGATCTTCATCCAACATTCCTTCAAAGATGTTGGCCAGGTATTTCAAAAGGATTTTGCAGTAGGTCGTTTTTGTCTCAAGTATGTTGATTTGGATTAGAGAAGGAAAAGTACTGCAAGGAAATGAAATAAGTATTCATTTTGAGAAAGGAAATTATTCGTAGATTTTGCAATGGTATTAGCTGCCTATGAATAATCACAATACTAATAAGAAAGTTTTATTATTATAGACTCAAAGTTTGAAAATAATTTTTTCTTTTATGACTAGCTAATATTTCTGTTATTATAACTAAATTATGTTATATAATTAATATATAACTAATATATAACTAATATTATGTTATTATATAATAATATATAACTAATATTATGTTATTATAACTAAATGTGTATAGTTATTAATCAGAGCTTTTAATAAAATTATGTAGCTGCAATTATCATATTGGTTTGATACTCTAGAAAAAAGCGAAGAAATATTATTCAAAGTTATCAAGTGAGGGTTTATCTTGAATTACATTTAATCCATGTGCAATCAGTCTAATCTGAAAAATTAGAAATTAACTTCTAAATTATGGTATAATGCTAACAATCTCTGCTCAGAAACTGAACTTATGTAAAGTCAAAATTTACACAGGAAACTATAAAAAATTGAAATCCTAACCTTCTTTAGAAGTGTTCTCAGGGGCTGGGGATTTAGCTCAGCGGCATAAGCACCTGCCTTGCAAGCAGGCAGTCGTGAGTTTGATCCCTGGTACCGATAAAAAACGAAAAAGACAAAAAAAAAAAAAGAAGTGTTCTCAGTGATAGAACTGTGGGGGACCGGCAGCAGCTGAAAAGATAAGAAGTATGAAATATAAATGACCTTTATTTTGAGAATGTGGGGAGAGACCCCCGATCCCCTGGGGTGCGGCATCTCCCCCCAGGGTCTGCGATCTCTCCGTGCAACACGTGGAGTGGGGCATACATGTAGCTTAGGTTGGGGGTGGTGCCTGAGGGACATTAGGGATGCACAGGTAGCTCATTGGCACTAGTTTGGTGCCAGGGACAAATTCCTAGGGGTGGGGAAGATAGGGCCACAGGTAAATTCCTAGGGGTGGGGGAGATAGAGCTCCTTGGTTCCGCCTGAGGCTTTTCCAGCTACAGTGTCCGGCCTGGGCCAAAAGTCTTTCATATCCCGTCTTAAGATTATTATTATGAAAAGGGGAGAAGATTTCTTTCTTTACTGCTTCCTGCTGGGAGGAGGCACTGTACTGGGGTCTAGGGGAGTCAATGGGATGATGGTTGATGCCCAGGTAGAAGCTTGTACCAGTGTTTTAGCCAGGACAACTTCACTGGTGAATGCACGTATGTTAGACTGGTAAAACAAAGAGACAAGATGTTATGAGGAGGCATGACACCATCATATTTAAGGACCCAGGTGAGATAAAAGGGGAGGTGCCTTTGATTTAGACATATCATTATATCAGGACCATGCTGAGGTATGATCATTATCACAGTGAGGTAGAATTCTGAAAAATAAGTGTGAGGTTAAGAGGAGTGAAGTTAAGAGAGACGATTACTCCCCCATCTGAAAGGGTAAAAGTTAAGAAGGTAGGTGGACAAAACTTGTCTCTGGTCCAGGAGTTGAACTGGAAAAAATAGGGGGAGCAGGGAAGGCGGTGGCTGTACCAGTATAGGGAAGGTAAGGGGCTAGGCTTTCAGGGATGTCACATTTAACCAAACAGCTGAGGGTAGAAAGAACTAAGACAGTTGTCACATAGAACATTATGAAGATGACTTTACGCATGATGTGGGAGTCTTTAGGAAAGACTGTTAAGAGTCCTGCTGTAAAAATGATCATTAATAGAACATAAGAAATTAGGAACCAAAGTGGATAAGAAAACATGACTTAGCCTGTGAACTGTGGCTGTGAGGCCTTCATGAAACAGAGACGGGTGGGCGACAGAAGATAAGATGACCACTCAGAATGATCAGATTTAGGGCTGGAAGGGCACTGCTTAGCCTGAGTGATGTGAAACCAGGATGGCAGTCTAGCAACTTTGAACACTCTTGAGGTTGCCAAGAATATCAGGTATGGGTCGCTGTAACCTGGTTGTAGTCCTTGGAATGATTTGCTGTAACAGAACTTTAGCAAGTATATCAGCAGTCTCCCTGGTTGTGTAAAAGGCTTTTATGTATCCTGAAAAAGTATAAACAAAGTGAGAAGACAAAATTTATCTACCAGTCTCGACCAGGGTTGTCTGAGAAATTGGTAAGAAAGGAAGGGGACAATTTATATCACTGAGGAGAGTTTTACTAGCGATAACAGGTGTAAGCTGTTGTGGCCTCAGTGTCTGGGTCAGCCTGTATATACACAAGGGAATAAAAAGCATTTTTAAGATTTAGGACTGTAGAGTGAGTGGTGGAGGGAAGATTTGGCACCACTGGGTGGACTGGGAAGAAGCAGTCTGGAACCTGCACAAAACAGAGCCTGTTCGTAAGTGGCATAGATTGACCTTTTAATACTCTTAGAGTCTGAGGATTTAATATAGCAGCCTGAAAACTCAGGAAGAAGTCTGTACATATGGCCTCTATGTCCACAAGTATAGAGAATGTCTTACCTGAGACTTTTAGTGGGACTTGGACTCTGAGATGGACACCCATAAAGTGGGCTGTTGTTGGCCCTGAGCCCTGTCAGTCTTTAGCAGCAAGTTGAAGCAGATCTATTGGCAATGAATCTGGCAGTGTTGGCATTTCCTGTGAGGGCTAGGAGTTAGGATGGCTTACCCACTCTCTGGTGGCTAGGACAGTCCAGTAGCCCTGGGGTAAGGTCTCAAAAAACGCCAGGATGGGGAACTCTCTTACCCAATATTTTCTGCTGCATTTGAGGCATGGTCCATGGGGGACTCAGGCAGCTCCACCTTGTGTTGATTTATCTGTCTCAGAACTCCAAGTGTCACAAGTGTTATTGTTATCTCTGTTGTTGAAAACACAAAAAGCCATATTAAGGTCTCTATGAGGTTTGAAGGTCAAGTTTTGCCTTTTTGTTTGGGATTTGGACTACAGTAGAAGGTATCCGTAGAATTAAGTAAGTATGCAGGAGTCAAATATAATCAACAGGGTATTTATATATTAGTAATGACTTCCCATAAGGAGGACGGGTCCAGAGAATTTTAGGAGCTGACATGTTATTTATGTCATACATATAAGTATCTCTTTACGTTATTAAAATGTCTAATGCCATCTGATTTTTGGAGGATGGCCTGTTTAATTAATTTTTATCTTTTTACTTAGGAGAGAGATCAGCTACAGTGTTATTTAATATCAGTTGTATATAGTTAATTATGGCCCGGTGGAGGACTGAGCCAGGGCAGGCAGATAGGCTGGGAAAGGTATAAGTTTGGCTTCTGCCGCAGTGTTGGTTTTGTTGTTTTGCATATATCATACAACCCTTGTCCTGGAAAAGAGCTAGTGGTTCCCAGCAAAAGGAATTTATAATTATTTTTAATTTTAGTTGTTAAACAGGGGATTGGTGACAATACATAATATAGGCAGTAAACTTAACATAGAACATTACTGGTGGTTTACAGCCAAAGGAATTCATAAACACCTCTTAATTTTAGTTGTTAAACAGGAGATTAAATGGGGCTGGGGATTTAGCTCAGTGGCATAAGTGCCTGCCTTGCAAGCAGGCAGTCATGAGTTTGATCCCCAGTACTGATAAAAAGGAAAAAGTCCAAAAAACAAAAAGGCTTTAATTGGTAAACAAGGCTGGTAAAATTACCAGGTGGCCACTTTCCCATTTATCAGCCAAAGTCTTGTCTATTGCTGGCTTATTTAACCTTGATTAAATGATTTGAGAATGTAAAAAATAGCATCTCTGAGCCGAGACACCTAGCTGCTGTTTATCTGTGTTTGTGGTTTAAAGTGGCACTTGGGTTGGGGAGACATGCTTGTTGGGGAGATGTGCAGCACCTAAGGCAAGACAGAACTCTAAGGCTGGGCAGGGCATGCCCAGGGTGGGGGTGGCACCCGCAGAGTGAAGGCAGGATAAGCGCTGGGATGTAGCGCGCGGGGCGGGGCTGAGACTGCCCCCAGAAACACACACAAGAGGCGGCAGTGGTGGCGGGCATGTGGCACATGAGGGGGGTGGGGGGCTGGGACAGCACATGGAGGGGGCAGTGGCACAGTGGCGGGGGGGCACATGGTGGGTGGAGCTGGGAGGCAGAGTTGGAACGAGGCGTGAAGTTGGGGCTGCTCCAGGAGGTGCAGCTGGTAGCTGGACCAACTCGGAGCTGAGCCTCCATGTGAAGCTGGAACTGCTGGCAGGCCGCATGGCATTAGAGCCGACCCCGTGCAAACCTGGAGCATGCATGAGAGCCGAGATACCACACAGAATTGGGCGCAGCATGAAAGCTTAAAGCAGCAGTATCTCTCAACACTGTTTGGGCACACCTCCCCCATCTCGGCGGGGAATGGGTCGGCATGTGGCAGGCAAGGGAAAGCGACAAAGAAACAAAGAAGATGCTGACAGGGAAAGGACACACATTCCCAAAACAAAGGCTTAAAGATAGAGAATTTTGTAAACTTGTTGCCAATGTGATAAGCTACAAATAGGTATGTTTTTTGGGGGGAGGGGACAGGAAGTGGTCCCCAAGACAAAATCTGGTGTGGGGTCTGGCCCACAGAGTTGTAGCCAGATGAGGCAATGGACTGTGGTCTACTAAGTTTAAGTCATCACTTTTTACTCTAGACCGATCGGTATTTTATGGTTCCAAAGCTCATAATAATTGGCCATCACCAATACAAGAGTGGATTTCTCATGGATTTAGTAACAGCTCTGCCCATGAGAACTTAAAAAGCTCTGAAGGACGTAAGAGTCTATCAGTGTGGACACAGGCTGGGCCAGGAAAACTCTGCCTTGGGCTATCCGAACCCAAAGGACATGAGAGTCTCCCAGTGTGGACACAGGTTGGCCCAGAGAGACTCTGCCTTGGGCTATCTAAGGATGTGAGAGTGTTACATGAACCCACGGAAAGGGGGAGAAAACCTGCCTGGGGGCCTGGCCCAGTGGCAATCTCCGGGGATTGCTCACTTGTGGTAAACTGGGTCGGTGTTGTTTGCAAGTGAGCAGGGACAAGTTTACAGCCCCTGAGTGTAGAAGTGAGGAATTAATGAAGGATGTAGTCCGGTCCTGGTCCTGAACAACAGGGGACTCAAACTGGGAAAGCCCCAGGAGTCTCTCGTCTGCCGTTCCAGGTCAGGGAACCAAATGATAGAACTGTGGAGGACTGGCAGCTGAAAAGATAAGAAGTATGCAATATAAATGACCTTTATTTTGAGAATGCAGAGAGAGACACCCCCAACCCCCTGGGGCACCACATCTCCCCCCGAGATTGGTGATCTCTCCATGGAACACATGGAGTGGGGGCATACATGTAGCTTAGGTTGGGGGTGTTGCCTGAGGGGTATTAGAGATGCACAGGTAGCTCATTGGCATTAGTTTGGTGCCAGGGACAAATTCCTAGGGGTGGGGAAGATAGGACCACAGGTAAATTCCTAGGGTTGGGGGAGATAGAGCTCCCTGGTTCTGCCTGAGGCTTTTCCAGATACAGTGTCCAGCCTGGGATAAAACTCTTTCACTCAGAAACTCTGACCACAAAATATTCTCACTGCCTTGCTATTGTTTTTATTTGTTATATTCATATTAAAGGCTCAGCTGCAAAAAAAATGAGATAATTTTTGTGAACTGAATATGAAAGCATCTTCAGATCGTTGTTCAGCTTTGCTTCAGGATCTTTTCAGTCCCTTAGAAGAAGAGGTGAAACAAGGAATTTACTCTAACCTGGGAGGCTACCATTTTCTTATTCAGAAGGTACAAGACCTGAAGAAAAAGTACTATGAGGAACCCAAGCAGAGAATACAGGTAAGCAGAATTTAACTGTATTGTTTTAACAGTTTCCAATGTCAGTGTTATCAACCACAATTATTCAGGGATGTGCCTAGCCATTTACACTCATTCATACCTTCATTCAGCAACGCCCTTGAGAAGCCAGTTTACTAGCTCTGCACCTAGTTCTCCTCCAGAGGAGCAAACTCACTTACAACTGTGTTTGCATCTTTTTCACTGTCTGTTACCCTCCTGACCCACATTTCCTTAGTGTTTGTACTCCTTGCACATCTTTCTCTGATCTGCTGTCTCCACAAAGCCTTCGTTCACTATCACACTTGGTCTGTTGTGACGACAGCACCAGCAACTTTAAATTTAAAGACACAAGTTCCAATGAGCTTCCTATACAGGGCATTGATTCTTGGTGTGTACAGTGGAGGAGGGTCCTTACTGGTCAATCCAGAGTAATTGCCCATTCTTGGTACCAGAGAATCTTTGACTCCAGTAATGCCAGTTCCTAGAGGAAAATTTGGCACACAAAGGGTAGAAGGGAATGCTAATGGTCACTTTCTACTATTAACCCTGTGTTCTTTGGTTTTCAAGGCTGAAGAGATTCTGCAGAAATACTTGAAATCCAAGAAAGATATGACAATGACATTCTACAGACAGACCAGACTCTCACAGAGAAGGAAAAGAAGATGGAAGGTGAGGAGGAGATTAAGACGCTACATGACCTCAAAAGATCTTAAAAGTCTGAGTAACTTAACCAAAACTGGTACTTTTAAACTGAAACAAGAAGAGCAGAGCTGGATCTTTTGTTCCAATGCAGTCAGCAGCAACAATAAGTAGACATATGAAGGGGAAGGAGGTGAGACCACATAGTAACCCATGGCCATTTCTCTTATTCCTTCTAGTGGACTGTGTGAAAGCTGAATCTACCAAGGTGGCTGGAAAAATGTGGGAGGAAATGCAAAAGAAATATCAGGAGATGTTGGAGCAGAAAGAGAAGAGCTATCAGGAGCACATCAAACAGTTGACTGAAAAGGTGGCAGAGGAGAAGGATCAGTTTTTGAAAGAGCAACAGGAGGTTCTAGCTTTTAAATTCCAGGTATTCGGCTGTGCCATCTTGAACTTTCTGTTTTTCTTCTTTTCTCCATTCTCCCTGATCACAAAAATTGGCAAGGAGACCATGAAGCCACTAAGACAATCTTATCCATACTGCCTCCTGGTGGCTTGCCTGACCTATCTACTGTCCCTGAGTAATTCTTATATTTCTTCCTTGCAGTGCCGCCCCATCAGTAACTACATCCTCAGTTAATGGAAGCTTTATCTGCTAAGTATCGTAAACCCGTTTTATCTGTATCTCTTGCACAGGAATATGAAAAAAGAATGTTTCCCTCATACAAGAAACAGGGGTTCAGAAAAGCTTTCTATAGATCACCCAGTCGATCAAGTATCTGTCTTTCCATGATTTTTTTAGTCCAGTTTGTCATGAGTTTACAAGGATCTTTGTGAGCAAAACCTCTAAACCTTCACATCACTCCTACCTGCTTTCTCTGCTTGTTCCCATTTTCTGCTCACTTGAGAGTTATGTGCAGAAATAATTTGGACTTGATTTGCTTGCCTATCATCTGTCACCCCTATTCCAGGTTTTACAAGCTTAACCCAAAAGACCCAGTAGTCTGAGTAATGAAAAAAAAAATTCAATGAACAAAATAGCTTAGAAATTTAATCCTTACTTACATTAAGTTTTACTTAGATTGCATAGTTACGTTTTTGAGTCTGTAAGTGACAACCTCATAAAATACAGGATTTTGATGGATAATAAGTACAAAATTGACAAAAATGTGAAAGGAAAGCAAATACTGTTTGTATGTTAGATTTGAATAAAGAAATGTAACTTTTTTTAGTTCTACAATTTTTCCCCCCAGGATATCAAATGCAACCAGTTCATTTATGAAACAAGTTTAATTCTGAAAAAAGTGTATTGTAGGAAATATTTTAGTCATTTTCTGCACAAGATAAAGTAACATCATTTATGCAAATAGTAAAATCTTTTTGCATGTTTATCTTTGGTTTTGTGTTTTGCTTTGGTCGTGTTGGGGTTTTGTTTGGTTTTTTTTTTTTTCTTTGCTAACACATTGTAAAAAAGCAAGTAGGACCTAATGTGTCTTAGTTACTTTCCTTATTGCTGGGACAAAATGTCCTATAACAACATGTTAACTGAGAAAAGTTTTACCTCAGTTTCAGTCCATAGTCAGCTGGCTCCAACACAGGTGACGTGTCTAAGGGGCATCACAGAGGACAAACAGCCCATGGCAGTGCAGGCAGGAAACAGCAAGCATCAGCTTCCTTTCCCCTTTTTTACTCCTTTCAGGCAACAAGCCTATTGATTGGTGCCCTTCACACACAGGTTAGGCCTTCCCATGATCCATACCCAGAAATATCCTAAATTAACTTGTAGACTAATCCAGTAACTACATCTTTATTACAGAATCGTATACCCATGATCCAGCCACTTCCAAAATGCCACACCTATGAATGCATGAAATTTTGGGAAAACATCTAGACATAAGCCAGAACAGCACATTAAGATTTGTCTTTTCTAAAATTTCACACCCTGGGATTTTAGTCTTGCATAATACTAAGAATCAGAATTTAGTAACTAAGCTGTATTTTTCTTCGTTCTTTTCATAGTGGTAATACTTTTAGAATTTCTTTGGTATGCACAACAGGGCTCCAAAAAATTTGAATACAGACTATAAGAGTTAATTTCTATTTACCAACTAAGGAAGCATGTATCATTCATGTTGACTTATCAGACTTCAAAATATGTACTGCTTGCTACTTAACTGAAAGACTCAGTGGTACCTACCATAGAGGCTAAAAGAAGTCTCTCAGGCATGATTTCAAAGACACTGATTGGGAGTGCAGAGAGAGGTTTTACTGCAATTTTGAGCAGAACAAGGGGCAAAACTTTACCCTAAACAGAACTCTTAACAATATTGTTAACTCTTAGTCAATATTGTTGAAAGTATCTTGAGTCATAAAGAAAAATTTAATAAAGTCGATTTCACCATGAGACAACTTTTGCTCTGCAAAAGACACCAGTTGGAGAAAAATGATATACCATAGACTTAAAAGGGAACATTTTCAGTTCACATACCTAACAAAGAACTTATATACAGAAAATATAAAGGCTCCACTTACTCCACAGTAAGAAACAAACAAATTAAATCCCAATTGAGAAATAGAGTAAAAGATTGAGAAGACATTTAACCGAAGGAAATAGAGATCAGATAAGTACATGGAAATATGATCAACATCACCAACCACTAGTAAAATGCATAATATTATACTGTTAAGAAAAAACTATCTACTTATTAGAATGAGGTGAGGGGGAATCATTAAAATTATTTTCCTCTACTGATATAGGATTTCCACTCTCAACCTGAGATTCTTCCTTGCCTACTCTTTAAGAAATCTCCAAGAAAATCTTTGATAATGATGTTGTGCATTTCCAACTAACATTATCAATCCTTGGTCCTTTATCTGCCCCCTGCCACTTCACCATAGGACTCTTTCAATCCCTTTTTAACTACATTGTATGATTAAAGTGAATCTCTACTTGCTGGGAAGTGAGCTACATAAAGACAGGCATGTCATCTATTTATTGAAGGCAATAATTCAGTGAGTACCTTTGAAGACAATAATTCAGTGAGTACCTAGTAAATCTTTGTGTTATATTCTATCCCTTTCCAGTGAACATTTTGCCCCATGAATCAGACTAGATATCCCATCATTGTCTGGTAATCTCTTATCCTACTTATCTCATTTCTTCTCATACCCTGGCTAGTATAGCCAGTCCAAGTAACATTTATTGTCTACCTATACTTCACTATTAGAAAATAGTTTTCCTTTGTGTCTCTTCTTTACACCACCCGCCTCCTTCTGTTTACCCTAGGATTGTTTTCTAGACTTCCCATTGTCTTAGCCACATGTGTCCTCTGGATCAAAGCTTTGTCAGCTAAAAGCAGAAAATCTGTACATACAGAGAACTTTTGGCTTTCTCTCTGGGTATAACTGCACTTGGGTGGTCGCCTTGAATTTATCCAGTAGATATGTAGCACAATATGTCTTGAGATACACTTAGGCTATTTATTGTGGATCTTTGTATTTTTCTAATGTAGGCACTCAGAGCTATGGATTTCTTTCTTAGGTCTGCTTTCATTGTATCCCACAAATTGTTATGTTTGATATACATTACCTTTGGATTAGGACTTTTTAAATTTCTTCCTTGATTTTTGTGTGTGGTCCACTTATTTCTCAAGGATGTATTTCTGAATCTTTGTGTGTTTCTGTGGTTTCTTTTGTTGTTTTCTAGTTTTGTTCCATTGTCATATAATATAATATAATATAATATAATATAATATAATATAGAAGATTATTACAGTTCTTTTGTATTAATTGAGAGTTGTTTTCAGGCCTAAAGTATGGTTTATAAAGGGAAAGGCTCTAGGTATTATGGTAAGAATGTGTACTCTGGTGTCATTGGATGAGACCCTACAATTATCTGTAAATCCATTTGTTCTGATGTAGATAGAATCTGATGGTTCTTTATTCATGTTCTTGTCTGGATTGCTTCTCTGTTTGTGAAGGTGGGGTATTGAAATCCCACACAACATTTGTATTGGTATCACTCTTCCTCTTCCTGTCAAGCAGTTTTCCACTGCTGATTTAGATGCACCAATATTCAGTATATGCATATTTACAATTGTTATATCTCCCTGGTGAATTGTTCCACTTACCAATATAGAGTGAACTTTGTCTCTTCTCACCAGTTTTGATTTGTCAGAAATAACTCATACAGCTTTTGTCTTCTTAGGAACAAGCCTATCTATTGACAAATGGATTCCATAATGAGAACAAACAAATTTATGAGGATATAATGTATCTCAACGAAAGCATAGAAAACTCAAATCTAAATGTGTCATACTATAAATACCTAATGAAACCAGCTTATTTATTCTATCCAAGGCACAGATAAAGCAATCTACATTTTGAAGCAGTGGCCACTTGGGAGAACATGGTGGATAGATAGCAGCAGCTATGGAGGCTCTCTTAGATACCCTGCTTAGAACCCAGGAATGGGGCGGTGTGAGGAGTCCTAAGCAAGGGGAGATATACCCTGCTGACCCAGGAATGAACTAAGCTAAGAGAAACCAACTGGAAACACAATCCCGGTGCTATAACAGGAACAGATAAAATCTCAGTGCAGAAGCTGGATCCCATGCCATTGGAAGCCACGATTTCAATTTCCTGCTGCTGCTGCTGCTGCTGCTGCTGCTGCTGCTGCTGCTGCTGCTGCATCCAAATTGGCACAGCAGGGAGAGAGACATGTGAAAACTCTGAGAGTGAGAATCAGAGAACGGAGTTGAGAACGGGACTGGCAGGGAGCCCTGCATCGACCTGCGGTGAGTGAGCAGAACAGGGACTCCTTCCACAGAGTAGAAGGCTTCAGCAAAAAATATACTGGGACTGGGCAGACTTGCCGGAACAGGACACTGCAGTAACTTTAGTTGCATATTCCCCTCTCAAGCAGGATTGGTGAGAAGTGCCTGGCCTGAGTGATGCTGCTGAATAAGACCCAGTATGCTAGCCCAAACCAGGTCCCAGCGCCTGGAGGTGCACCCTAGCAGTGAAGCCTTTGGTAGGTTGACCTGGAGGGACGGGCCCAGAAGAGGCTGACCAGGTCTGTGTTTCCCTAGTACACTGCAGTGGGTGGGAACACCTAGCTGGCACAATTCAAACAAACTGTAACAGACAAAGAGAAAAAAAACTGAGCCTCCTATATTCGCTTGTATGGAAGGAACAAAAAGTATGGGAAGAGGAAGCAACAAGAATGAGTCCTCAGTCCCCAATCCTGAGAACACTGATCCAGGAAAGGTGAATGCAAAGGAGAATGAGGAAAGAAAACACGCAATATCAGACACGGAACCAATAGACATAAAGTGATATCTCCGGAGCCTCACAGACGAATTCAAATGTGAAGTATTTAACAAAATAAAGCAAGATATAAGTAGAATAGCTAGAGAAATGCTAAGAACCTCCCCCCCCCAAAAAAAAAAAACAAATGGTGGAATGAAACAAGAGGAAAAAAGGGGAGAATTGTTTGATGGAGAAAATAGAGAAAACATAGACTACATGAAGCAGGTTCAAAGCGATTCCAGGAAACTAACAACTATATTGAAAGCTGGCATAACAGCTTAAAAGAAACTAAGGATAGGTTATCTGAACTGGAGGACAGATTTGTAATATGGGAGCATGAAATGGAAAACTTCTTAAAAATAAAAAGGAAACAAACAGCAATAATACAAAGGCTAGAAGATGATAAGAGCATCTATAAGTTAAGAATTAAGAATGTAAAAGAAGTAGGAACACAAACAAATGAACTACAAAGGCTATTCACAGAAATAATCCAGGACAATTTTCCTAATTTAGCAAAAGGTAAAGATACTCAGACGTATGAGGCATACAGGACCCCAGCCACTTACAATTCAAACAGAACTACACCCAGGCATGTAATAATCAAAATTCCAGAAATCCAATATAAGAAAAGAATATTCAAAGCCATCAGAGACAAGAAACAGATCACTTACAAGGGAACACCCATCAGAATTATAGCAGACTTCTTGGCACAAACCATCAAATCACAGAGAGCATGGGGGGAAATAATCCAAGCTCTGAGAGATAATAACCTTCAGCCAAGATTGATACATCCTGCACAACTGTACCTAGAAATTGATGGAAAAACAAGGTGCTTCCAGGACAAAGAGGAACTAGGGGAATTTGCAACCACCAATTCAACTCTACAGAGAATACTACAGGATATTCTAAAAAAGGAAAATGCCAAGATTCCAGAAATAGTGGCAGAGAGGCCACAATGAATGCAGCAGGAAATGAAATGAAGAAGACAAACTGACAACAAACGACTGAAAAAGAGCTCAACAGAAATGAGGCAGAGATCGGATGGTAGGAACAGCTATTTTGGAGAAAACAACACATCATGAAAGCTAGTGCTGATTTAATATCATCTTGTTTGAAATCCCATCAAGCTTTTGTTCTTCTGTCTCCATCGGTCTTAACATAGTATATCTTATTGGATTTTATTATATGTGATAATATAAGCAAAAACTTTTATAGACAAAAAGATTATACAGAAACCATTGTTCATTTTCTGTTAGTTGTTTCTAAATACCCTGTAATACTGTTATTCTCTTGAATGATTTTTCATTGTCTTGATATGTTTGGTGCTACAGTGTATGAAGTTATACTCAAAGATTTCAAGGAAAGAGACACTATGGTAACTACTTTTATATGGGGATTATCTTGTGGTGAAACACTATTTTGCTTAAATTGTTATGCTTTGGCCTGCGCTGTTTTGTTGTTACGCCCTCTTTTATCTCAATCTCCTTTTGTCAGTTATTTACTTTTTATTTTTATCTTTTTAATTAAGGGAAAAATAAAAAATAGCAGGATACATTATAGTAACCCACTTTGATTTCCTATTAACTTGATTTGAAACCCTGTATTGCCCTCACCATCTTGTTTTGACTGATTTTCCCCTATTCTGCTTTGCCTGATAGTACCAAATTTGAAAGTATAGGCAACAACTGTGAAGACAATAAGACTCATTATGACGCCTATTGTGGTTGACTATTATCTTCTTTTAAAGTCCTGTAATGTCTCCAGTGTTTTGGTTTTATTCTTTACTGTTTTGCTCAATTTAATTATACCTGATGATATAGGCAATTCTTTTTAAGATAGCAAGAGGCAGTATGGTAACCATTGTTGATCACCTTGTATTTTGTTTTTACATTATCTATTATGTCCATCCTTTTGATTTGACTTACTCTGTTCTGTTATGTCACATTTGGTTTTACTTTCTTCAAAAGAAAAGAAATAAGAACTGTGGGAGTAATAAAACCCAAAATGTGTAACTGTCATTGTACAAAAGAAAGGAAAAGAAAGTGCTCTAAAGGATATAACTGCATATATATTTAAGTGTATATGATAACCATATTACTGAGTTTTGTTGGATCATTGAACAAAACTGTTTGCAGTCTCACTGTTTGAAAGTCCACTTTATATGCTTTAATTTTGTAACTTGAACAACTATTTCTAAGATAACCATATGTAATCTATTAACTAGTGATTTCCTACTGTTTATTCTTTCTGAAATTCTGTATAACTTGTATCCTTTTTGGTTTTTTTTTTCTTTTTTTCCTTAAATAAAAAAAAGAAATGCTTGAACTCCAAATGAGCAGTCAAAAAAATCTGAATAATATGCTAGTCAGGGAAAACCAGGCCAAAATTTCAGGTGGAATAAATATATCAAGTAAACTAAGTAGTTATAGAAAAAGAAAATATAGAGAGTTAATGCAAAAAGCATGCAATTGCAAGAATAAGTACCTTTTGGTCAAAATAACTCTCAACATATCCATAAACTTCAATTGCCCCAGTTGAAAGATATAAATTGGTCTTCCAATAGATTTAGTGTTTCTGTTTTAATATTCAGATCTTTGATCTACTTAGATTTTAATTTAGTACATGGTGATAGGAATAGGTCTAGTTTTAGTTTTCAGCATATGGAGACCAGTTTTTCCAACACATTTATTAAAGAGACTGTCATTCTTCCAGTGAACATTTTTGGTCCCTTTATCAAAGATAAGGTGGTTGAGTGTGTTTGTAGTTGTGGTTGTATCTTCTAATTTATTCCATTGATCTTCAGCTCAGTTTTTATTCCAGTACCATGCTGATTTTACTACAGTTGCTTTGTAGTATAACTTCAAGTCAGGAAAAAATACGGTTATATAACTTCAAGTCAGGGATTTTGATGCCTCCTGCTTTGCCTTTGCTGCTTAGAACTGTCTTTGCTCTTCTAGGTCTCTTCTGGTTGCAGATGAATTTTAAGTTATTTCTCTAGATCAAGAGGTATGTTGATGGTATTTTTAGTGGGGTTGCATTGAATCTATATAACAGTTTTTGGACAATGGCCATTTTCACAATATTTAGTCTTCCTATCCATGAGCAAGGAATGTCTTTCCATTTTCTGAGATCCTCTTCAGTGTCTTCTTGAATACATAGGGGTAGGTAGACAATTCATGAACAGGAATCAGAGCACATGGGAAATACTTCCCAGAATCAATAACTTGAATCATGTCTTATTTAAAAGTTTCTTCATGTCAAAAGAAATCTCCAGAATAGTGAAAAGAAAACCCACAAACTGGGAAAAATTCTTAATGAACTGTCCCTCAGACAAAGGACTTCTATGTAAAACATACAAAGAATTTTTAAAAATCAGACCCAAAAATCCAATCCAAAAATGGGCATCTTAGATGAATAGACAATTCTCAGATGAAGAAATACAAATGGCAAATAAATACATGAAAAAATGTTCATCATCATTACTCATTAGAGAAATGCAAATTAAAACCACACTGAGATTCCATCTTACTCATGAAAGAATGGCCAGGATCAAGAAAACTACCAACAACAAATGCTGGCGAGGCTGTGGGGAAAAAGGAACTCTCCTGCACTGCTGGTCGGAGTGTAGACTGGTGCAACCATTGTGGAGGTCAGTCCGGAGATTCTCAAAAACCTGGGTTATGCTGTGCTAACATGAGACCATCAGTCAATAATAATATTTTTACCCAAAATTATGTGATATGCATGCTATATATGTGCCATTAAATTTAAAGATATGTAGACATTAAGCAGTGCAGACAATGTTACACACTTCAGTGAAATCCCATTAAAGGAAAACAAATTATGTAAGAGCTTTTTTATGTACTAGATAGAGATGGCTGACTAAAAGGCTATTCTATGTCAAAATGGAAATTTAAGAGCATTATTAAAATGTCATCATGATTTTCATTGTAAAATGCATGATATTTGATCTCAATTTTTCGTACAAAACTGTGTAACTGTTTTCTGTTAACATTCTACAGTGATTCAACTACTAGAACCTACATGGTAGGCAAGAAA